GTGAAATTATCCTTCACAGAAAATTCACCACATGACTGGTTGACCCGTCACCTCGTCATGGAAAAACCTTTCCCATCTAGTTTAAACCAAAGAACGACACCCCAATTTGGTAGTTTATAGCCTTGTCTAGTACTTTGTAGCACTGTTATGAAGATGTGTCAAAAGTGTTCTACTAACTACAAAGCAAAAGTGGAGCTATAATATTAGCATTAAATGCGCTATGTTGCGTGTAATGTCCATGCGATAAGCAAGAATTTGCCGATACTAAAACGGGTTTCGTCTGCTTTTTGATTGTTTTGATGTATTGTGGTGTGAAAAACCGGTATATCCTATGATTTACCGGGGCTATTTTCATTTTGAAGATGATATCTGGTATAAGTGCGGACTAGACGTCATTTCGTTACGACTAAGGAGACAAAGGAAATCAAGGGTATAAGAACACCTTACATCTTGATTTATTCGTAGGGTGGCTATCTCATGGTTATGGATCTGTAATTGGAAATGCTAGTTTACTGAAGTGAGAAGGGACGTTGGCTTGATGGGTTAGCGCTTTGTAACCTCTACAACCCATATCAATCTAATCTATAAATTTACGTTATTTTGCATATTTTCAACCCTACAGGAATCAAATTTCGTTCGGATAATTCCATTTCTCGTTGGAAGTTCCAAGCTTAATAGTAGTTGGAATTTGAATTTGTTTAACTAAGTTTGGATACATAAACTATGATAGAAGTTCCAATTTAAGCGCGCCACACAAAAAGTCCTTGAATTAAGCTATGCAAAAATGTTAAGCGGTCTGTTTCTTATTCAAGACAACAAATTTCGGAAAAAAAAACCGAGTGAATGTATGGAGGCATCAAAACCCAGTAAACCAGCGTAGTTCTGCGATTTTCTGACCTGCGACTCCATAATTTCTCTTCCTAGATCTCAAAACTCAAGCGGCAACAATCTTCCAAGAACTCTTCCATATAAATTACACTGCACCCAACTCTACGGCACTTTTTACCTAAGCAGACTCAAGGGATGGCCATTTAACTAACTATGGCATAACCAGAGACAAAAGAGAATGTGGGAATACCGAAGCCATGTGGGCGTTTTCTAGACTTAACAACTTCCGCTTACCTCCTGTGGTCGCAACCGAAAAGCCCACCGCATAAATTTCAAATAAGATGGAAAGGTGCAAAGATCCTTAATTTGCTGTAAGGACCTACCTGTGTACGAGTGATTTCCCTCCATATATTACCCGATCGT